TCGGTGAGTCCCCCAAACCCACGATACGATACAATCATACAATACCAATTACGATACGATACGATATTTTCATTTCAATTCAGTTCTCGTAATTCTTTTGCCCGTGGGGCCCACCACCCTTTGACGTCTCCCACGTGGCCGGGTTCGAGTTATCCGGATGTTATTCTTATTTGGACTACGGTGTCGTGTAGTGGTAGTTTTCTCTTTGGCCTTTTTGTTTAATTATTAATTAAGTAAATGAATAAGAAAGAAGGGAGAGGAGAAGATTGGGGGATGGGAAAAGGAGTGATTTTCATGGAAAATTGAGGGTTGTTTTGTTTGTTTGTGGAAGATGATGATGGAATGAAGCTGACAAAATTCATTCGTGGTTGCGTGTTCTGTTTAATATATATAGTATATGATTTTCAAATGTGGATTTGTTAACGTAGGGTGGAGTGCGCACCCAGTGTGTGGGAAACGATACCATTTCATAATAAAGGCAAATGGGAGTTCCATTGGAGGATATCATAAACCATGCATGTGCTGTGGAGATGTCTTGCATCTCTGTGAGTCTAAGTGAGCTTCCTCTCCCTCCCGAATCTCTATTTTCAGTTTATTCAATTTAGTTCTTATGGTTTTAACAGGTTCAAATTGGTTTCTATGCGTTATCATCAATCACAGATTCTCCATTTTTTGTTAACTACTACTAGGCTGATGCTTCCAGATTGGCTAACTATGTTAGTTAAATGTATTAGGATGGATGCTTATTGGTGTTTTTTCGGGTGGGTAAAAAATGGTTTAGAGACAGTTTTATGAAGTTTAACCAAATTATAGAGACCAAATTGAATCTAGTCTCAAACCATGTGAACTAAATTGAAACTTTCAGGCCATAGAGATTAATTTAATTCGAGCTCAAACCATAAGGATCATATTTGTTGTTTAATGTAGACGTTTTGTTATATGACCGAAATAGTATATTTATGTGTGCAAAATTAAATGATCTTTCTGGGATCAATACTGCTATATTTTCCCTTACTATTTAAATAGTGTAAATAATTAACTACTGTCCCAAATTCATTTTCTTATGTTTGCAATTGGTTTCAGTGTTTTTTGTTTTCTATCATTTGAATGATTGTTGACCTGCTTCTTGATTTTTTTTTCCTTTAAACTTTAGTTTTCTTTAGGCTCTCTGAATGTTGTTGTTGCGCTTGTTGAAATTATTTTATTTGTTATTATTACTAGATGCAAGTCGTGCAATCATGTAACGAGCACAGATGATGTAGAAGATTGGGTGTACCAGCAGTTAGAGAACAATACTCATCTCTTACACGCTGTGGTTCACTCCAATGGTTATGGGCATCTACTCAGGGTCAATGGAAGAGAGGGTGGTTCGAGGCACCTATCGGGATGCCATATTATGGATTTTTGGGATCGATTTTGTAAAATGCTTGGAGTCAGGTCAGTCATTACTATAGTGAATAGTGAATCTTTTAGAGAAATGTGAGTCAGGTCAATCATTACTATAGTGAATCGTGAATCCTTTTCAGAAAATGTATGTACAGTAGATCGTTTTAGAGTCGGCTCACATCATATTCTCAATTGAAGTATTGACATGTAAGTGTCTTGCTTTTATTGTTCAAATGCTTTTGTTTGCCATCTTTTAAGCTGTTTATGGAACATCTAAGCTTGGTAGTAATGATTTGAAATGATTTTGTTATGTTGGAAATCTGTGTTAATAACAATCTATGCATGATGAAGCAGACTGTTGAGTGAAACCTTAAAAATTCTGTAGATTTTTGTTTTTCTTGGAGGGTATCATGTCACCCTCCCCACCCAGATCCAGGAGAAAAAGCTTTCATTATTGTCATGATGTTCCTTTACAAATTAGGTACTCAAAATGCATTGTCATAAGGTGAGGCATTTTATTTTGTTTGAACTTCTTTCATTCCTAGTGGTTTCTTAAGGATGAAGCTGGAAATATGCAGCCTCAATGAGCGGCTCTGTTGGCAAGGACACGGGTTTTGTGGTATTACCTATCATGAGGTCTTGTGTACGAACTTTTGGGTGAGCTTAATACCAAAAATCCTTGATGTCTCTTAGGTCCGTGTCTTGGAACGGGCATGGGTGCCCCTGGCTTTAGCTATCGATTCTGGGTTATCAAAAAAACAAAAAAAGAGAGAGAGAGACAGAAACTGGAAATATGCTATAAGGTTATTTGGTGTCTGCCTGAAGTTTGAATATTTTGTATAAGGTTAATGAGAAGTGGTATTTGTATAATCCATTGATTTTTATTCAATCCATGCTCTCTTTTGTGCTGGAAATGGTGAAAATGGCAAATTCTTCATTTATGAGTTTAGTTACATTCATTTCAGTTATGGGTACATGGACGTAATTGATTTTTTGCATTCTTTCTATGAGCAGAAAGGTAAGTGTGATGGATGTGTCCAAGAAGTACGGGCTCGAGTATCGGCTGCTTCATGCCATCACCAAAGGTCATCCATGGTATGGCGAGTGGGGTTACGAATTTGGTGCTGGTAGCTTTGCTGTGACTCTTGATGCCTACAAAATGGCTGTTGAAACCCTCTCCAGCCTGCCCTTGTCAATCTTTTCATCTCAAGGACGGAAGCCCCGTTCGCACCTGCAGGACATAATTTCATATTATCAGTCTTTGTCGGAGCGTAAGCTTTTAAATGTGAGAGATCTCTTCAGGTTTCTGATGAGCTTAATTCACAATGTTCGCAAGTCATCATCAACCATTAATGATGTATCGGATGAGAAGCAGCAGTCAAGGGTCTTGTGCTCGTGGACGAGAAGCGATGTTACACGTGTTGAAGAAGCAATGTTAAAAGTGCTACATGCGGTATCCGGGTCGAATTGGGTAACTTGGCGCACCCTTAGGGGGGCTGTGTGCAAAGCAGGACCACCAGAACTCCTTGATTATTGTCTTAAGAATCTTGGAGGGAAAGTATCATCTGATGGGATGGTTGTTAATGCTCAACGCAATCCTCAATCAGGTGCTTTCGAATACAGGTAAAATAAAAATAAACACGTATTTCTTTTCTGATCTTTTTCATGTTATTGTTAGGTTAAATTACAAATTTGGTCTTATAAGATTGAGCGATGTCTCAAGTTTCCTTGTGGTTTGACTTGCTTGAGATTGGTTCCAATTTCGTTCATGTGATTGGGAAGTTTCAATTCGGTGGTCCCTTAAGTCTGAGTTAAATGTCATAAATCATCCTTGTTATCTTATTGAATATGTGACATATTTTCTAATCAAGCTGAGTGAAATCATGTTGGGGATCACATTTGTAATTTAACCTTATTGTTTTTAGCATACACTTGTGCAAGGCTGCTTATAGTGTGTGGTCTCTCAAGAGTAACTTTTTTGTTTTGCAGAATCGAGCCTGGCAGCGGCATTTCATCGGATACAGCCACTGTTTGCACCGAATCGTCCATCTCTAACTACCCATCTGAAGAAAATCTTCTGTTGGACTTGAGATATTTGTACGAAGCCATGCTCCATCCACATTCTATGGTTAACTATGGTCCCCAAGCAACAAGGGATGCAGCGGTAAGCTCGGCGGAGAAGCTCATAGACTGTAAGCAGTTTGTGAAAGATTATAAACCCGAGAAGCTATCGACTAAGTTGAATCCTTCTTCGATATGCCTCTCGTGCGAGGTTGAAGTCGTGGAGGACTTGAAAGACAATTCTTCAAGACCCCCTTGGGAACTAGTAGTACTTCCATCTAATGCAACCATGTCTGACCTGAAGCTGGAAGCATCAAAAGCTTTCCAAGACGTATATTTGATGTTCAGAAGGTTTCAAGTAGAAGAAATAGTCGACCATGGCGGTGTAGATGATTCCACCCAGGTCAAGTTGTTGTTCGGACAATCGGAGTCCGTACGTGTCCGAGGAAGATGCGGAGTGAAAACTGCGCTGAACAGGTTTCGAATGGAGAGGGGGGTGGAAAGGTGGACTGTCGATTGCAGTTGCGGAGCCAAGGACGACGATGGCGAGAGAATGCTAGCGTGCGATCTCTGTGGCGTTTGGCGGCATACAAGATGTTCAGGAATCCAAGACTCGGACAACGTCCCGGGGAAATTTGTATGTTATAAATGCAGAAGCTCGATCGTTGCGATGAATACGAGCGGGGAGACAGAGGCGGATACTCTTTCGAAACTAGGCTACGTTAGTTGAGATCTGTATGGATGTATATAGTTTTGGTTTCAGTTTTTTTTTCTTTTTTTGGTTCTTGTTTGGTGGTGGGGGTGGGAGAAGGAGAATGTGTACATGTGAAGAAGTTTGGCCGAAATCTCTGATTAGATGTGTTTCCTAGTTTTGTTATTCTTGTACATGTTCAACTGATGGCGAAACTTGGGATTTATGTGACCACGGATCGGAAAAACCAAAGAAAAAAAAAGAGAAAAAAGAGATGGAATTTACCAACTCTTTCAAATTCATGTGTCTGTGTCGATGTTTGATCTTGATGTTAACTTGGGATTATGTGGTCATGGTTTGATTTTATGCTCTCAACTTCTAAATTTTATGACTTGACCTTCATTATCGGCTCGTATATTTTAGAGCCGCTTGTAGCAAACAAATTGACAGTTAATTGCAGATATAGCAGCTTATACCATGAAATTGACACTTGATTACAAATATATGAACTATTTTTTTATGAGTAATATAGTTACGGGTGAGCATCGGTCGATCGGGATCGGTTTTTGGCTGATCCTGACGTCAAAAACCGACCTAGTCGGTTTCCTATTATGTAAACCGACTTCCTCTGTTATGTTTACTTGCACCAACTGATCAACTAGCCGGTTCGTCGGTTTTTGTATCAAATACTTTTTTTTTAGGAAGATGGCGGTGTGGAGTTGCAGTCGGCCTTCTTTGTGAAACGAAAACTAGGAGAGACATGAACAATAGGCGAGCTTTCATGCTGCTACTGCACAACAGCAGTCACGCATGGCAGACTGCATTTAATGCGGTCTGTCCCTTTTTATTTTTATTTTTATAATTAAATAACATATGTCGTTTGGTCGGAAAATATTTTTCCGACCAAACCGACCGACTAATAGATCGGCTTTATAAATAAAAAACTGATTCCGACCGACATCTTCACCAAACCGACCGACCGACGTTGGTTCGGTCGGATCGGTTTTTCGGGGTGCTTTGCTCACCCCTAAATATAGTTGTAAAAATAACGAGAAAATCAGAATAACAAAAAGAGCTTTTTTTTTGCAAAGGTAAATATATTAAAAAAACAAATGACTTCCCAACACTAATGTAACCGATCCAAGCATGTTTAGTAGACCAATATGAAATCCGGTGAGAAGAACCAGTTCAGACAAGACCTCCCAACTAAAAATGCGCTTAAAGAACAGATGATCTCGGGACTCAAAGCTAGCACAAAACACACAGAAAACACGAACGAAAGAATTCCAACGTAGCAAGCCAATCACGCAGCACCAACCAGGCAATGAAAGAATGTTTCGGAATGTTCCCACCGAACCAAAGCAAAGAAGACCAAGGAATAGAAGGTCGAGTCGACTAAAATGCATCCCACACACTCTGTTTGGGGATAAAAATACCGTGGACACGTGGAGGACGCTTATTGGGGTTTAAAATTAAAAGAACTATTCTAGTTCCATCTCGAACCTGCCGAGGAGACCAAATTTATCCGTATGCAAGACTAAGTGTAAAGGCCAGGGTTCGGCCTGAAGGGGTTCAATCTACTCAAACCCGACAGGTTCAACATAGTAAAAGACAGGGATAACCGCCGGTCGTAAGTGCTGTCGGACCCACTACCTATAAATAGAGGGCCTAATTTCACACTCAAGTATCGAATCTCACCTCGAACTTAATATTGAGTCCGACTAGAACTGACTTGAGCGTCGGAGAGTTGGCCCTCTTGTGCAAGTTCATTCTTGAGTTCAGGTCAAGCCGGGGACCGGGTTCGAGCTTGGTTCGTGAAATAACGTTGTGCAATTCTTTGCATAAACATTTGGCGCCATCTGTGGGGAGGACAATTTAAGTCATCCCGTTCTAAGAAACAAACAAAGATGGTTCAGCTAGCAAACTCGACCAACACGGCAAACCAAATAGCTATGGCTGCTAACGATGGCCACCAGAGAGAAGTCGGGGTGGAAGTGGCAGAAGGTCAGATTCAAGAGGGCCTAGGGACCGAACAGCTCCGTAGGTCGGCACGCATCACCACACTTGTTCTGCCAGCGGCACATCCTAAACCAACTAAGGCCAATCGTGGCCGAGGTGGTGCCTCCAAGAGAGCCACCCGAGCTCAGGCCCCAGCTCATACTAAGGAGAATTTTGATGCCCTTCAAAAAGAGATGGAGGCAATGCGCACCCAGATGCGTACCATGGAAGAGATGTATAACGAAATGGTGCAAGCTTCTGGTGCCAGGTCCCGGTTTGAGGACCAAGTGGTGCACGAAGGAGTGCACGAACACGGGGATCTTCACCTCAATCCAGCCGACGAGGAGTACCCCAGAGGCGATGAAAATGCGTAGTATAGTCGCCCGAAGAGTGATCTCCGCGATCATTGATTACGCTTGTTTACATGCGTAAAAAGAAGGTTTTAGATGCTGTTTTTACTATGTTTCAGCTTTGTTTCGGATTTTTCTCGGTCGTTTGAGTTCCAATTCATGCAAAATTCATATATTATGGTTTGTGGTTGGCTTATATTGTATTTATGACGTTTTAGGACCATTTGAGAGTGCAAATTAATCAAAAGAAGCAAAAAGTCGGAAATACCTACATGGGAGGCGCCAGGCGCCTGGGAAGCCTGCAGAAAAACAGTTTTTCTTCCAACTTTGCCCTTAATGAAACGCGTCTTCCAATGCGTTTTGGTGGTTCCAACCGATGCATACGTGTAGAAGAAGTGTTCCACTATCAGTTTGAGCACGATTTGGTCAGTCAAAAGAGTTGGAAATGGGTGATTCACCATCGTTTTAGGACCTACCTAACCAATTCTGCACAGCTATAAATTCCAGCAGCTTCTCCACCAAATGCATCAAGCCTTGCTTCCTTCTCTTGATCATTTTTAGTGTTTCTTTGTTGCTTTCTAAGTACTTTTGAGTTGCTTTCATTAGTTGCTTTTGGTTTTTAAATCCCGAGCACTTTACATTCCTTTATTGAGCTTTGTTTTGTTTCCATTTGTACTTAGTTATTTTCTACTTATTCAAATATATAAAAATCCAGCACTTTGCTTATCTTCCCTTTGCCTTTACTTTATTTTTAGTTAAGAGAGTTGTATTTTTGGAGGAAAGAGCACGTGACACTCCCCCTTGCTTGAAAGAGAAGGGCGAAGCTCTCAATCCCGATAAAAACTCTCCGTTAGCTAACTTTTGTTTTTCACACATGCATTCCAATTTCAACCATTTTACTTGCTGTATTTTCTTCAAAATGTCTTTCTAAATTCCCGTCTCTAGCCCGGTTATGGATAGTTAGCCTTTTATTTCTAAAAAGGGTTGCTAAGAAGTAGTGTTTTTGCTTTCCATTCATTGCTCAACATGTTTTCCC